AGCGAGTGGTACATGAAGCGGCATGGGAGCCATCGCTCCACCACCATCCCCCTTGGCCATCCTTCAGGAGGGTAAGCCCAGCCCCGCTTTACCGGAAAGGAAGGGTATGGCCACCAGCTTTCCAGAGGGATTGCAGGTTTTAGCCCCTGTGCATGTTGCCTTTGGCCCCATGTGTGTGTACCTGGGATGGGGCTAGGAGAGCGGGGTTAGCCAGCCCCGATACACAGCGGAGGTGGCCTGGGAGGGATTCACCACTCGGTGTAATGGCTCCCTCCGTTTCCAAACCACACGCTTTCGGCTCAGCTTGCCCGCCTCCCTCTGGGTTCTGGATTTCCCTCCGCAGCCCAAGCACTAAAGGTTAATGCATAGACAAACCTGCTTTCTTTTGTGGATCTGCTCACAGTGAAAGAAAATAATGAACAAATAGTTTTTGGATATGCAGGCTGCAGAGGAATTGTATCAGGACTTTTGCATTTGCTCTCTCATTTTAGGTCATGATGCAGAAAATCATGGCAAACCTTCTATATGGGAGTTTGGGCCATTTTGCCAGCTATCTAGAGAGCATCTGGGAACAATATCTTCCAAAGAACATACCCTTTTGCGTGTGCAGAGATTTCATTATACTTGTTATACTTGTTACTCATATTTTGTTAAGCTCATCATTTACCTCGTCGTAAATGCCAAGAGAGGTAGAGGCAGAAGGAAGAAAAATGGTGAGATCTGATGCTTTTTCCCCAAACCACAGAATTATCTTAAAACTCTCCTATTCATAAACAAGACTTATCACTCGAAAATCTCAATTTGCACAGAGCAAATTATGCTGTCGCTGGCCAACCTATCTTATTTATTTTTAATAACTTCCCGTATTGTGTGGTTCCAGACTACACATCACATGGCACACACTGCAAATGAGATACTAGATATCTTTCTCAAAGATCTTGCACCCTGGGCTGAATTTTTCGTTCTTCTTGCTTTCAGGGATGCCTTTTATTCCCTCTTTAGCATTTTGAGCATTCACGTGTCTAGCATATGAAGCACTGCTGCAGTCACATGGCTGAGTGAACACAGACGGTTCAACTAGTGCTCCTCTTCACCCAGAGAAAAAGAGAAACATGAGACACAAAATAAACTGCGATGGACAAGATCTGGCAATTCTTTACTCCGGCAAAATTTGGACCATCCTTGGAGAGGGCATCAAAAAGGCTTCCCACTAGTGCTGTCAACATGTAAATTGGTTTTTAGTTCTTGCTTCTTTTTCAATTCCAGGAGGTTTTTTTTAGCAAAAATACGAGAAGTTCCAGTGTCTGGTTGACATTTATAGAGTACTGTAGTTTCAGAGCACTTTACTGAACCTTCTTGAGGGCCAGATGCTGTGTTTCCATATTGTACAAGCTGCTGCTGATCTTGTTCATTGCCAGATGTTGTCCTGCATCACAAGAGTGCTGGCCCACAATCTACTCGTGGAAAGGGAAAGCCCAAAAGAGTTTCGGCAGAACACCACCTTGGTGCTGCTAGTTGCATGCACAAGGGTGAGTGAATGAGTTTTATACTAGAATAGCAGCAGACCTGTCAGAGAGGCTCAGTCTTGAAGTGTTTTACCTGGGGCCACCCAGAAACCTGTGGAAGAGCTGGGAACTGAAAACAGAAGAAGGGCTGAATCCTGCAGCAGCCCTCTTGGTCCTTAGCATAGTAACAGCCGCCTTGGCTCTGACCAGGGCCAGAAATCCCAGGCTGATGAGAGGACAGTGAAACCTCCAGGTTTGCAGATGATACTAAGTAGTTTGAGTAGTCAAATGCCACAGTGCTGGTGAGGAACTCCAGGAGGACTTCACAACATGGTGTGAGTTGACAAAAAGGTGGCAGATGAGCATCAGTGTAGGTTAATTTAAAGTAATACACCCAAAGAAAAATAACCCAAACAAGGTGTATGTGATGCTAAACTCGGAAATGGTAGTTACCAAGAAGTGGATCTCAGAGTCATCACTGACAGCTCTCTGAAATCATCAGCTCAATGTGCCGTGACTGCCAAACCCTGAAAAAAGTGTAAGGTACCATGAGGAAGGGTACTGAGAAGAGAGCTTTGTTTTACTGCTGAGCAAAACCTTGGCATACCCTTACCTCAGACCCTGGGTGAGGTGCTGGTCTCCAATGCTTGAGGACAAGTCAGTAGAGAGTTGCCAAGGGGTCTCCTTATAGGTCAGACAAGGCAAGAAGTCCTTAAGTCAGTAGTAAAAGAAATGGGCAGGGTGTCCCCTCCAACAGGCCAAACACCGTGGCGGGTGTTGAGGGATCACATGGGGAATAGACCAGCAGAGAGTGGCCAGGTTTACTCAGTCCTCCTCCCACTGGTGGAGATATAGTACTGGGGTAAGTGATCCATCATCTGCCCCATTTCTCATGCTCGTAACCTGTATCTGACGGTGGCTGACAGCTAAGACCTAAGGCGAGTGTAACTATAGGGTGCAGCAGACAGATGTTTCCCAGAATAGCCTCCTGGACATTGAGTGTTCGTGGCTCACAGATGTCCCAACCCGGAGGTGTTGTTTTACTTAGGATGGGATTCTACGCTTTTTAAAATTAAAAAAAAAAAAAAGAGCAAAGAGGGCTTTGAAGTCGAACTTTGTTATTAGAGGTGACATGCCAACCATGCGTAGGTGCCAGCTGCAAGATTTTATTTTGACTGCTGTCTCATGAGGAAAGTTGGCATGGGAATGGCAGGGAGGCATGTCCTGAAGAAGGTAAGAAATTAGCCAGGCTGCTTTCAACAGCCTCTTTGATGCTGGGTGGCTGAGAAAACAGAGTGGTGTTTTCTGTGTACGCTGCGACAAAATATCCTTTAATAATTGTCTTCTGGGTTACACTGGGTTACAGCTTGGACTGCCGCGTTGACAGAATACCAGGTTTTGCTTCTGGAAGATGCACTAGCATGGGTTGCATCTGCTTTGTTGCTGTCATGAAATTTCTTTTTCTGCTGAGGGAGGAAAACAAACAACTTCCCTTTAGTCTCTAGGTTGAAGCTGTCACTGATCATTCACAGAAGAGGCAACCAAGCTTTCGGTCTAAATGAAGAAACAGTTCTGTGTTCAGGGAAAACAGACTGAAAATAAAACTTGTACAGATTGAGAGAATAACTAGGGCTTTGCAGCCAAGGCATGAGAAAGACACCCAGGAAAAAAACACATTAATCGTGACAGACCATACATTATTTCCTGCAAATTAAGATATCTCCCCTCTTTAGGATCACAGTTCAAAGGCAGGTCATTTAAGTTGGTAAAATGTAGCACTACCTTTTTAAGAGTGTTACCCAAAGCCCAGGAAAGCTTGTTGAGGTTTTTTTTTTTTCTTTCTGCCAAGTTCTGGCTCAGCTCAGGGGATCGCAGCTCTCTTTACGGCCTTACATCCCCTTCATCATTAGTGTGAGACCAGTCTGTGGGCCAGCACCCATGGAGATGCATCTAGGCCTGCAGCAGTGGCCAACATGAAGGGAGGAAGGATGTGGGAGGCTTCTTTTCCTTCACAGGGTCGATGAAAAGTAAGGCTGAAGGACAATGTCTGCAGATATTCAGAGAAGACCAGGACCATGCTGCAAGACACATGCCTACCTTTCAGCTCCCTCCATTTACAAAGGCACATTCTCAGAAAAACCCCATCCTTTTTCTCCAAATTTTTAATGTGCTGCCAAACCAGGGTGACTACAATGAAAGCAGTATCAAGACATGGCCACAGTTGGGTAGAAAGAAAGATCAAGAAGCCTAGGGGAAAGCCCCAATTTTTTTTTAATTTTTTTTTTTAATAACTACATTTTCTACTTTTTAAATATGTGCTTAAGAGCAAATGTTTCCATATTTCCTACTTTTCTGTAAGGTGGAGGGATGGAGAAGAGTATGAGCTAAAGATAGTTAGGACAGTAGGCTTCCCTTGTACAGGATAGGATCAGGAACAGTTTAAGCATAAGTAGTCTTAACATGCCTCTGTTCTTCCATATATTTACCTATCAGTTTACACGCTGATTCACAACACAGTGCAGAACTGCTAGTTTTCTCTCAGAGGCATAGCACAAAGGCATTAACTTGAATTTGTATCTAAACACACAGAGTGGTTGCATACTTTTAGCTTGGTCCAAGACCATCAGCCTATGCACCCTTGCAGAATTTTCTCCAACAAGCTCCCTACCCCCATAAGTCTGGCTGTTGTTTTTTGGTTTTGGGGTTTTTTTTTAATCCTGTAGAGGTTTAGGGTGGTGGTGATAGGATCAACAAGGGTTGAACCAACAAATAAACAAAAGAAGAACTCCTCTGAAACTTTCCAAATTAAAAAGCACACGCGCTATTTTCTTGTTCAAGAGGTTTTAATAAAGACTCGTATTTTTAAACCTCTCACACTGTACAACACATTTAAATGTAAATCAAGCTCAGATAAAAAATAAAGCTTTCTTACAAAGTACATTTTTCCAGTGAATTTTTTTCTTTTTTTTTTTTTTTTTTTGCAGTAAAAATAGCTGCTACATAAATCCCTCCTGATCTTTGAAAAGGAGTCACAGTTATTTCCAAAAATAGAATGCATATTTTAATCAAACAGGATAAACTGCAGGAAGAAGAGACAAGTTAACTGAAAAAATAAGGCTTGTATATAAATTTTTTTTAAAAGGACATGCATAGAGGTTGAAAAACAGATGCCATTTATAAAGGAAAAAAGGTAATTTTATCCATATTAATATTTTCATTTTCAGTTACAGAAGAAACCACAAACAGGCCCTTTATGTCCCAGAATATAACATTAGCTTCTTGTAAAAATGCCAAAATGCACAAAGAATTGCCAGCTTCAGTCTTGGCAAAATACTGAGCCAGCTCTCCCTCCCCACCCCCCCATTTCATATCATAGGCATACCATATGCATGCATACTGAGCACTTATGTTGTCTCTCAGGCCAATTAAATATTTGCAGAAGGTTGTATATCCTAGACAAACATGAAAAAAAAAAATTCTTGTAAAAATGCCAAAATGCACAAAGAATTGCCAGCTTCAGTCTTGGCAAAATACTGAGCCAGCTCTCCCTCCCCACCCCCCCATTTCATATCATAGGCATACCATATGCATGCATACTGAGCACTTATGTTGTCTCTCAGGCCAATTAAATATTTGCAGAAGGTTGTATATCCTAGACAAACATGAAAAAAAAAAAATTAGATAAGTTTACATTCATCCTATTTCAAAACACACATACAATTAGTTTAATTTACACTATACAGTATCTGTTAAATAGGAGCATTACAGAGTTTCAAAAAGAATCACAGAATATATACAAACTGAATATTGAAATGGTACGATTTTCCTTCCCTTCTTTAAAGGGTCTTTTTTTTTGTTAACGGTTGCTACATCTGGTTTTGGACACAGAGTGTTTATGTACCTATGCAGCACATTTCTGGAGTAGTAATAATAATAATAAAACGTGCTTTAGAACAAAACTAATATCGATTCTCCTTACTGCTCATTTAAAATAAATTAGTTTGTTTTGTTTTTTTTAAATAAATTGCATGATATAAGATGTAAGCAAGGACGATGGTATTTTAAAATAGCTGAGCAATAGTTCTGCTGCATCACTGGTTTCTCATCCAACCTTTGGTTTTAAAGCCAACCCATTATTACATGGCAGTGTAAGTAGCCAAAACGTTTTGTACGGCAGTACAGGTAGTCGAAATGCTTAACCCAAAAGCATTTCCATGTCTTCATGACAGAGCTGGGATCTGGTGCTGACTTCCATGCTGCTCAAGTGCCTGACATGGCAACACCCGAAGCCACTGATGAAATAAGGCCACTTCCTTCCAGCTCTCCCTGGTTACAAAATCAGTTAAGGTCCTTATTTCCCAACAGTTGCACCCATCTGAACAGCCAGAACTGACTGCAGACGGTTCCCAGACGCAGTCCCAATACATGATTTTCACCCCTGCAGCATCACGTCCTCGGGCTCAGTCCTCCGTGTCGGGCTGCACCCCCAGCATCGCGTGCAGCTCCTCCGCCGTGTACCCCAGCAGGTTCTGCAGGTCGCACACGAAGCGATACACATAGCGTTTCCCTGAAGTCTTGTGGATGATGTTCTTGTCGTAATAGTAGCGTAGGCCTCGGCTGAGCTTCTCGTAGTTCATTTTTGGTTTGTTTTTCCTCCTTCCCCACCTCCGTGCCACCTGTCAGTCCGAAAAGAAAGCAAAATGCAAAGGGTTTATTCAAGTCACGTTCTTCTAGTCGGTGGCTGATAAACACAGTTATTAAAACCCTTTCTCAGTCAGAGCATTTTATTTGCTTTGGATGTCCCAAACTCAGAAAAGAGAAGAGCTGGTGACTGACCCCGCAACTGAACATGCTCCAAGACAATTATCAGCAGCAGCTTCAGGAGAAAGTGGCTGATAGCAAGTATCAGTGAAAAGGATACCTATTTGTAGTGGATGGGCCAAAACGTCTTTAAGGAGATCAAGTTTACGGGAAGTATAGTCTCCTCTCTCAAGAAGACACCATTTAACTACTGAGCAGCAGGGACAGCTCTTTAACTGGAAGTTGAATGATATAAAGTTCCTTGAAGTTAATGATTTCCCCACCTCTTTTTTAAATAAAGGCTTCAGTGGACTTTATATCACATCTCTTAATACAATAACTTTCCTACTGGTAACAGTATCGGAAAATGAAAATGTATTCTGTTTATTTTTAATGGCTAAAGCTGTAAGTTCCCAAAATATTTCAAAAGTAGCACTACCATATTTGCTGTGTATCTAAAAGAACGGCGATACGCGGAGTGGATTTTCCCCATGCCTTCGTGCAATCCCAGGCATTGTTGATTCAACCACATCCAGTAAGCTAATCTACAGTATTACACCGTCAAAAGAACTAACTTTGTATACAACCTTTAAGTTTCCAGCTATACAATGTGTTCTCCGAACTACAAGCAAATGCTGATATCCCTGGGTGGGAGGATAGGGGGGAATATCCCACAGCAATCCTGACTGTACAATAAAGCATTTGCAGATGAAGAGATTTCAGCAAGCACCTGATCGTGTAAATGCTTTACATTCAAGACTAGGCCCACAGATGGCAGATCAGACCCTAAATCTTTTTGTTCATCACAATTAGCCACATACCTCATCTGGGTCAGCAAGTTTAAACTCCCATCCATCTCCAGTCCAGCTGATGAATGACTGACAGGACTTGTCAGTCAGTAACTCCAGAAGGAACTGCCATAGCTGTATAGGTCCACTGCCTGTTGAGAGAGAGAGGGGGCGGGGAGAAACCACAATTAGTACTTCTACAAGCTCTGACCACAACCAATGTATGTGACCATACTCATATCACAGGAGAGATCTTGTAATTATCCTGATTCACCCTTTTTTTTTTTTTTTTAAATATCAGGAAGAAACCTAAGGTATTTCTCTATAACACAAATCTGCTCCTAAACATGTTAAAATTAAACCAAGTCAGCTTTTTCATGGAAACACAGGATTTGACACAAGCTATGTCTTTCCATTTCATATGGATCCCTTAGCCCTCACTCCCACCTCCCATCAGCTGCACTTCAAGCTCCATGGCTTGTCCTGCAGTCCTTGGCTTGGCAAACATTCTAGAGGAAAAACCGATTTCAGCAAGGACTACAGGAACAAAGTCTTAACAGGCAAGCCAACACCTGCGGAAACTCCCAAGTGTGGGAGATTTTGTCCAAGTTTCCCTCTTCTTCAAACAGATCAAAAAGTGCATTCGATTTTTACGTGTTCTGACGTACCTTCCTGTTCTTGCTTTAGATGGATAGTCCTATGAGACTTTCTTTAGTAACGTTTAAAATTGAAACTTTCCACGAGTAGTGGTCTCTGACTAAGTTGTAAGGCATGCCTTACAAGTATACAACTTTATCACCATGGTACACATTTATAGAGAACATTGATGTTACATAAGAAGAGGAGTGAGCATTTTGCTTCACTACTTACCAGTAAAGCCAGCTAGAATTGCTGCCGGTATAACTGGTTTCCCTTGCTCTACAGGATCACTTCGTTCTTGAATATAGTCTTTGAAAGACATTGTAGGTTTGCTCAGACACAAGGACTGGCTACAGTCATCTTCAAAACTCTCATAGGATGGCACACGCTGTAAATCCACCAGTGACGACTGGCTGTTCCAGGACTGTAGCATCGAATCTGAGCTTTCGTAACTCTCTGCACCGCTGTCACTAGATTCGTGTTCTCTAAGCTTACCTTTATAAAACAAAAAGGAGAAAAAAAGAAAAAGAGAGAAGTGTTGTGTTTTTTTTTCTCCCCCTCAGTCTAGCTTGTATATATAAATTATGCAAAGGAGGAAAAGACATACAGAATATGGCCTTGGACCCATGGTTATCATGCAGATAACGACTCACCAGAATTGTCTATCAGTATGTTCAGATTGCTTCTTGGGAAATCTTGATTGACTGCACAGTAGTTCACACCAACAGCATCTGCTTGGGTTTTAGGAAACAATGAGAACTCTTGTTCTGGATTGAGGAGATTCGGTCCTGTGGAATTCTGACAGACGTCAGTCAGGAGACTGGATTTGGGATAACCAAGGGCTTTAGGGTATCCAGGCATTTGCATACCATAGGAGTTCTGATCTACATTAACAGCTGAAGAAAGAAATAAAAGAAGTAATTAGATGTTTTTCCCTGCAGACCCTTAAAACAGACCAATACACCTCCAGCACCTCACCACAGTTGTGCCACCAAGAAGTAATTTTCCCATGAAAATTTGACTAAGAGAGTGATAGATGCTACAGACCTACGGGAAAGGCTACTGAAGTCGGTGAGAAGATGCCCATCTAACGGGCTCCAAATCAGATTCTGTAAGTCCCCCTCTATATAACTTGCTGACCACAAATATGTCTATTGTTTGTTCTTCGAGGAAACTACAGGGCTACAGAAAAAGCTGGAGAAGCTTAAGTGGTTTTGAGTAAGGCCCTCATCATTAAGTGGTGTAATAAGGTTGAGCTGGAGATTGACTGTGGTAGAATGAAATACATCACCAATCAAACAATCTGAGGGAGCTAGCACTGCGTCCCACGCACTTTCAAAAGCTCTATTACACTTCCACAGTCTTCAAAAAGGCCTAAACACAACTCTGGCTGCTCCCCGTCCCTCAGCGATGCTAGTTTTTGACTCGGTTTGCTAGAGGTGGGAGTGGTCATTCTGCTCCACAGATGTAGGCTTTGGCATACCAAGAGGAAATTTGATTTTCTCAAAGCCTTGGCTCTTCAAAAGATTTCCGATACGAATTAGATGATAATTAAACAATACTAGGAAAGAAGGCTGTAGCAACTGAAGTCAACTGTTCTCCTCAAGCACAGTAACTATTCTGGTGCTTTTTTTTGTTTTTAAACTTGGTTCTGTGACATGCTTAAAATACACTGAGAGATGTAAAATGCCAAATTTCTTAAAATACTTACTTAAGGAATTATTATTGACCCAGTGAGGAACTGAGGTGAGATGAGAGTTCTCCACATATTGATCCTGCATTTTGTCTTGGCTGTCTGGGGAGAGCAGAAAAAAAAAAGAAAATTTGGTTTTATCGTTTTAAAGATCTGACCTGTATGCCACAAAAAGCTTCTGACTTTCTTGAGTATTTTAGGGTCATCATTCACATAAATTTTACTAATGCACTGCATTGCATTCTCTCTCTTGAAAAAAACCACACTAAAAAACCTAACCAACTTTCAGTAGGCTTGAAAACCACCATACCAATTGACTTTTAACGTAAAACTTAGAAACAACAATAACTGCAGTGTGTTTTAAGGTCCAAGTCCTTAATGTGTGCAACTACTGAATGCTACACTCCAAAACCCAATGGAACTCACAGGGTACTGCATGTAGGGTTTTAGCAATACCATCAGATTTCACCTAAGACACCTCGAGGTGTCTTTGACTTCTTTACATTCATTCACTGAACTACCTTGAAACACTACATTAAGGGAACAAAACCAAAAACTTGTAATAAGAAGTGAACAAATTTTGACCAACTCTTGGTTAATTTTTTTTTTTTAATGGGGTATTACAGTAGCCTTATCCTAACCTCAATTATTTCAACGATGATTCCAAATAAAACCTGACCGCAATAGGTACTCAGCCTGAACACAGAATTATTTCTGTGGATATCTGCATCTGTGCTTTGCGTGCCAAGGATGTATTAATAGTTCTAATAATGCTTTTATTAACCAAGTTTTAAAGTTCATTTTGAGTTTTCATATGTAATAAAAGCCCTTCATAGTGAAACAAGTGTTGAAAGAGTCCCGTTTCTGTTTATGTTAGAAGAGCCTTAAAACAAAAGCTCTTTCTGGCTCTGTAACTACCTTTTATCATCTGTTCCAGGTGTTCCCACAGAATATCTCCCACATAGTCAGGTGCCAGTTCCAGGAAACGCTCCTTGCCCAGGTTACACAAGTCTTGGCCACTCATAAGAAACTGATGGAAGTTCACGTTTGCCAAGCTAAACTCATTGGTAGCCCATGAAAGCCACTGGCAAACTTGCTGTTCAGTCCACAGCCAGGGATCTGCAAGACAGAAAGTATCCAGCATTTAGAGAAAACTCCTGACCTTTGTCAAATAATCTTCGTTAGAAGGCAGTGAATGAAAAAATTTGTTTACCCAAGTTACTTAGTTCTGAATGAATTCAGAATGAATGTATTCTTGGATAAGAAAAAAGAACAAAACAAAAAACAACAACAAAAAAACCCCAAACCACACACCAGTCCTCTATTTTCCTTCTGCATTCACTTGTAATCAGAGATGTCCTCAGCTTACTTGATTCTCTCTTACGCTGCCAAAGCATGAGCTCTCCATGCACCCATTTTTAATACCAGCAAGTCTGATTTTTCCAAGTCAAGCTGTGCCAGATTCACATAGGATCCATTCTTGTATTTCCTACTGACATCATTCTTTCTCTTTTGAAAGAGCCGCTATTCAGCCTCCTCCTTAGCATTAAAAAAAAGAGCTTATAAATAGAAAACACTTACTATTTGGGATACCCAGCCGACACTGTTCCTTTGTGAAACCACTGAAAGTATCTTTCAAGGCCTGACTCATCACAGCCTTACTGCACGGGGTTAACAGAGGCAATTCACAGTTGTTCGACTCTACAAGAAAGAAAAGGGGTGGAGGGGAAAAACAAGATACATTAACTTTTAGGCCAGTGAAAGGAGTGACGGGTTTTTGCTGTGCTATTTGAAGAATAAGAAAAGGATGCTAGAAACTAGGTATTTTAAAAACGTAAACAAACAGTGTAGATCCATTTTCTGATGTATTAAGTCTTTGACTTAATATATCAACACTAAGATCTCTGTGCTACTGGTTTGATACAATTGCATCATGCTAAATTAAAGCTTTGCAGCTTTCCATGATACAGATCCTCATTTACTCTTACTAGTTACATAAAGCACCTTTGTTGCAGGGAAACTTTACTATTACTTTTTTTTTTTTTTTGAAGGAAATACGAGACTGCTTATTCCTATTTTGTCACCTATAGTTTGACCTCAGACTTCCTTATAAGTCCAGACAGTCTACATTTAGTTTGAGAGCTAAGTAACTGATAGTAGGGTTGTGAAGAACCAGCTTGCACTATTTAACACTGCTTTCCAATGGACTGTATTTCAGACCTTCCCGTGCGTCTCTCAATCACCCAAGTACATGGTGCGATAGATTATTCTATCGCCTGAACCAAAGAAGCGTGACTGGTAACAAGCTGGTACTCAGTGCCTAAATAATGCAACAAAATCCACAGTCAGCATCATCCTATGCCAGTATATATTACTAATCTGCTTAACTGATTTTTAAATTTGCAAATAGATGACATTTTAAGGACAAATTTGGCTTCCACTCAGCCTTTCTTATTGGGCAGTTTTCACCAGAAGATGCCTCATTTTACTCTGAAAGAAGAATTTCTAAGTTGAAGAAAGCCAACCACACTGCCTAGATGTTTCAGATTAGGAAACCTTTTACTGACATTTTGTTTGTGATTGGTGTCATTAAGCTAGGGATAATTTGAAGACAACTTAACCAACCCGCTACTGCATCCCTGAACATTTGAGAGCCTCTGAGAACTCACACACAGGTTGCATTTGAAGGAGCTCTGCTGTGTTAGAGGCATATAACGGTGGCAGGGTATATAAAGGTGATGAACTTGGCAGACTCTAAAGTCAGTTCATGAAGCTGTGCAGTTCTTCTCGTTCTCCTAGAGTATCTACAGGCTCCACTTGACCCAGGAAGTGGAGCTCATTACCAGCCCGTGCTTAACTTCTGTTTTTACCACACCCATCCTCAATATCTGCTAGGACTTGCTTTGCTGACCAGAGCGGGTGACTGATTAGAATCACATTAGAACAAAGGACTGGTGGTTTTCAGAGGATTAAGGGGTTTTTTCCTTCCCTAAGGGGAGATAAAGGCAGCATCAGGTAAAATATCTACATTTTGGACAAAACTCCCTGTTTTGTCAGGGATTTTAGGCAAGGATTTGTAGAGAACTCTTGGTAGGTACTGTTCTACACAGGGAAAAAAAAAAAAAAAGAAAGAAAAAGAAAAGCTCTGCAAACATCCCCACCCTTGTTTTTTAGAGTATGGAGTAAAACATACTGGGATTTAACACCAGAGGGTCAAGAAAGGAGCTTGCAGAATACTTGCATTTTAATTATGGTTGAGATATTGCAAGTTTAAGTACACATAAAACTTTTTTTAAAATTTTTAAACTCTCTTAGCTCTGCTTTAATACCTACAAAGGCTTCTTCCATGGACAGTCAGTCTATTAGGCTACTGAATCCCAGTTCCCACTCCTTTTCAGTATACAGAACAGCAACTATCCACAGAGCAACTCACATGGATAAAATCAAGCATGTACACAGAAGTCTGTGTGCTAACACACTTCTTTTTAGGGAAATCCATGTTGCACTTGTAAGAGTATAGCCATGAAATTTTAGTTAGACCCCACAAATTTCTTTCTGATCTGCTGACTGGACTAAGGAACAAAGTGAAGAGTTACCATAAGAAGTAGAATCAAATCCTGTTGGCACTTCTTGAAGTGTTTGATCTTCATTTAGTGAGAAAAAATATCCAGCAAAGAGAGAGTTTGAGCTATCAAAGGTGTCAAATGCTGGTTGACGCTGCAAAGCAACAGAATAAATAAAAAACAATGTGAGCATTTTGCTAGAGTACTGTCAACTTCATTGCTAGGAAGTGGCTGGGCTAGGTTTCCTAGATTTGGAGATGCACAACCACTATCTTGAATCAGCTAACTTGTGCCTTTGAAATATAAACACAATGATAACACAGCTTCTTGTACATAAATACAAAACAACTAACATTCAGAACACAGTGCTAAGTGGGTGGCATGTTCTGCAGGTTACAGTAAAGCCAAGTAAGGATATTCTCAGTTTTCCTGTAATTGAGCCTTTTAACAATAGAGAATGCACATGTGGAGAGAGAGGGGAAGAGAGAGAGATATTTATTTTCAGGTATATTTTAAAGAAATCCTCATTTCCTTAACCCTTTAAATTGACTATCCGCTTGATGAGTACTTCCTGGCAGAGGCAGGATCAGTAAATTATGGAAAAACAACTGCCAGTGCAAGACCTACAGTAGATTTATGCAGCTTTTTTTTCTTTAAGGGAAATTTAATCTGAACCACATCACTTGAAGCTATACAGCCAGCTTTACAGGACTTGAGGAAAGATGTTACTCCTTTGCTGTGAAATTTATACTTCTCAGTTACTGGATTTGCCAGCTACCACATTTTGCAGTCTTTCAAGTGTTCAAATGCTCAGTGAAACACTGCTAGTTTCATTATACAGAAAGGGATAAACAGGACTGATAAAAAAGTTCCAGATAAAAGTGGATTCTACTGATATATTGGCAACATTCAATAAATATTGTTATATTTTGAAAACCTAACTTCTTTCAAACTTGACTTGTGTCAATTGTGTACGCTAGAAATACTAGCACTTTTACTAGATCCCCTCAGCCACATTAGTCTTTGGGGAGGCAGAGGGAATGTTAACAGAGGAGGAATTAACTTTAAAAACAACTTATACAACTTGCCTGTTAGTCACAAGGAAACCGTATTTGTAATATCTAGAGGCACGGATGGATAAAAGTTGCCACTGAGATTTTTAAAAGCACCTGAGGATAGAACATTGTTCTGGAAAGCTACAGCTTGCTCATGGCAGCTACTGCAGCACAGGGAGACGGCGACAAAGGCAACTTGCAAATGCTTATTTGTTTTAGGCATCCACTGGTCTGCCAGCTTATGCCAAGGTAGAGGATTTAGCAGAGGACAAGGCAAAGATTTTTCAGGGCAGTACTCACGTGCGATGCAAAAGCAACCTGAACTATGTTTCTGGAATAGCAAATGAGTATTAGGATTTCCTCACATTCCCTAACTTCTCTTTTTATGTCACCACAAAGTTTCAAGTGGCTTGGAGTCTTTTTGCACCAGGTGCCTTTTATGTGCTGTGTGTCATCCCCCTCCTGAATCTCCCCAAATTACATTAACCCTAGTAAGAAACAAGGAACCGTAATTTTTTAGTTGTATTTTATAACAAGCTGCAATGCATCCTAGTACATACGTTATGAAAGCATACACTCCACAGAAGAAAAAGCTGGTTATGCCTCAGTTAACTGGGTTCAGAGATCTCCACTGAGCACTGGCCAGCGGAGACAAATTGTGTACGGTTGGTTCAGGTACCCCCCACAACTACAGTCAAAGCCAAACCGTGAAAAGGCTCACATCCAAATGAAACAAGTTAATAACAATTGAGAAATCAAAATAACAAATTTGCTAGTAAAAGATTCTTTATACATTACTAGATAAAAGCACTGACTCATCGCTAGTACCTAAAAGAAAGGGCAAGTTCTTTCAACACAATCTGGAAACTCCTGCGTTTTGTATAAATAGCTGACCCTTATCCTGAGTCACTGGAAAAAAAATGCTGTGGCATGCGAATGAGTAAAATCCATACTGTGCTAGTTTCATATTTCAAAAAGGAGAAAATTAATGTTTAAGCAGGTTCTTGATTTAATAGTAGTAAAAGGGGAAAAAAACAATGCAAATGAAATTCTGCTTGCCCTATCAGTTATGCAACCATTTTATTTGGCTTTTCAACATATGTAAGAGTAATTATTACAGAACATAATAAAAAGAAATGTGAACAGCTACAAAATAGTAGAACACAGGTCTCTATTTTGACTTAATTACATGACAACTGAATACTGAATAACTGCTTAGAACAACCACTGTGTTACAGAGCACACAGCTGTTAAGTTGGGGGATCTCTTGTGGATTTTGTTGTTGTTGTGGGCAGGAGAGAAAGCTAAGAGGGGACATAAAACATCTAAGAAGTTAGCATGCCAGAGTCTGACTAACCGATTCTTCCAAACATGGACATTCCTCAAAGTTAATGAGAGCAGAAAGTGTCTTTCTGCTAGCATTAATAAGAACACAATAAATGCATTAGCTGGGGGATGCCCCAGTTGGGTTTAGAAGGTGACAGCTCAAGAGTACTCACCTTGAGCATTCCTCTGTACACGTTAGACACAGGAGCTACTTGATCCATGTTGCTTATCCCAAAATCACTCATCTGAAAAATGAGAGGGGTCACATGAAAAACGTTGCTACTGAGGAAGCAACCATGTTAACAGATGTACCTCACTGCTTCAGTACAGATTACAGAACAGCTCTTGGAATGAGATACAGGGAAAGCTTTCCTTCTCATTGCTCACATCCCCACCATCCAGGGCACAGTTCCCATCTTGCTTAAGCAGCTTTTTAACTGGAAGACCTTTTACAGGCATCACTGGTGTTTAAGTTTTAGGAAATGAGTGAACAAGAGGATGGTTAGCTTCTGACACCTACTGTGAGGGCTTTTATTTAGTACCTTACTCTGTTAGTCTGAAAAGCCTACAGAAGTCCTTTGTCCACCAAGTATCTATCGCTTTGAGATATTTTCCAGCTTTCACCCGTTACCTTAAACATTCAGTTTTGTGTTATTTTTGCTTACTGCTCACATGCCATGATTCACTTTGGACTTTGGCTTTCAAAGGAAGGAAGAGAAGTGACAGAGCGCTCACCGTGATACACCTTCACGTACTAACATTCACCCGTTTCACCCCTTTTATGAATAATCATTGAAGCCAATACCCGGTATTAGCAACCTGCTTCCTCCACTAAGCAAAGCATCTCCAAGCCATGTTATCTTGCACATTTTGTAAACACAGGATTAGCATATTTATAAAGCTTTAGAGGGCCTAAGTTTTAATTGAAAAGGGTTTATGCAGTAAAATACCCTTTTTAAAGGGTTGATAATGGGACCACCATCAATATGTTCATGCTATTGAAGTTAAAGCTATATCACATTGCCTGTATTACCGGGAACAGGGTTGTGTGAGGCCTGTATAACTTGTTCTCCTATATATCGCTTAAGGAAAAGAGTGATAAGATTCATATCCTTTTACTGACCTATGGCAGAGATCAAACATAAGGAATAAAGCCAGTTTTATGGCCATTGTTCAGGTTTATCGTGATGCTGCAATTCAGGTGTTGGTGAACGACACCTTATCAGACTACACAACGGCAAGTTGTCTCTCAACAATTTCCTTCTCCTTTTTCACAGAATTGGGCTAAATTCTCTTGCTCCACAGAAACTGTCTGAAAACGTGCATTTGTATTTAGTCACATAGGACACTATTAATATTTCGACAAAACTGTGATCACTTATTACAAGCAAGTTCTCTTGTTAGCCATGTTAACACAAGGAGAAATCAAAATACAATCTTAAACTCAGAAAAAGATGGCAAATTAGGAGCTTAACAAAATAAGCCCGGCCTGTTAAAATGACAACACATTCAAAAGCCGTCCACATGAGCAAAGAGGAAAATAAAAACATCCAACAGCCAAAGACAAGGAACCCCTTCATCCTCTTACATAGTTGATCACTTAAAAATCAAGAGTCCTTAACCTGAAAGGCCCATTTCAACTTCACTGTTATCAGATGTGTGGGGCTTATCATTGCAATAAAATAAATCAACTGACTATGGAAGGAATATTCGACTTACACTTCATTAATGTCACCCAAAAGTGCAATCTACTGAATGATGGTTTTTACCTCAAACAGCATGTACAAATATTTGATCTAAATTACACATCTCATTGTGCAGCAAAGAATTTTACACAGCATGAGTCTCACTCAGCAAGCATCCTAATCTTTTCATTAAATTTACCACAGTTTAAACAACTGTTTATCTTTGCATTCGGCTGGGCTTTTGAAAAAATATATGGCAATTTCTAACACCCTTGGTTTTGTCTTTGAAATCTGCTCTGGTGCCTCGGGATAACTAGCCGTAAACCTTACCAATTGGAAAGTATTTCTGAAAACATTATACATATTTTCACTAAGTTTAGATCTGATCCCCCGTTAGGACTACAAATAAGATTTCTGACACTTTCAGGTGCAATCCTGGCCTCTACACGAATACTGTTAGGAACTCTCCCATTGACTAAAAGGACTGGGATTGTCTCCTTCCTGGTTTTTTTTGTTTCTTTAGAAATGTTTAGGGTCCTAAGACAAAAGGTTTATACGAAGTCTTCATTACATGGCACTGCTCATTAACCCAAGTCACTGTTTCTCTATGCTAGGCTGCTCGTTTGTTCTGTGGCCTCGCCTGTGCACTACACAGCTTATGGAAAAACTAGACATCGAGCTCCTGTCTAATAACACATAAAGACCTTTAGCATGTTTTGTAACACTCCAGTTTTCTTCCTCCAACAAATCTCTCACGTTGTTATGAGTTTCTATAGCCTTTGCTCGCCGTACATCATCTTTCTCCCCATCTGCAGTACAAGTTTCCAGCCCCGAGATCCGAAACCCTTACAGAGGTATCGCAAGACAAGCGGAGCTGAAAAGGCAGTATGGCTTTTCATGACACAAAGGGTTAAAGCTGGCTTTCTGCTGGACTTAGAAAGCTGCTGTTTAAGTTCAGAAAAGACACTACAGCACAGCACGGTGTGACTGGGCCTCACTTCCAACTCCTCCACTAATGCTGATGACTGCTACTTGCCAGCTATAATTGGTTTAACTGGCAGGACACCTTCTTCAACACCCCCGCATAGCTGAGTGGGTGAACCAGAACAGGGTCAACAGGATCAGGCACTTATTAACTTATACTCCTGAATTCTGATCAACTTCTTTTCAGCAATAGCCAGGTGCTTGCCCACAGCTGGATTCAGCTGGGAATCATCCACATGGAGAACTAAACCATGCCAGTGCCCGCAACAGATCTCCACTGTTTTTTTTTGTTGGGTTTGGGTTGATTTTTTTTTTGGGGGGGTGGGGGGGTGGGTGTCTGGTTGTTGTTTTGCTTTTAAACGGCAAATTTTTCAGACAAAAAAATTTCGTACCAATAGGTTAAGAGACAACCGCCTGCCTTAGGAGCACTGATCCCCCGTGCAACTATTGGCCTCCCCAAGTACTGATGAGAGAGATAGCCGAGAGCTGGTATGACTTTTCACACATATGACACAATCGCCCACATAAAAGTTAGATGGGGAGATCATACAGCCCAACATTTTTTAAGTCCCTTTAAAGTACTAACCAAATCCAGAGTGCGCGCTGCCCATTAACCCTTTCCTCCCGGGCACGCAG